AGTTAGGAAATAAGAAAAGTCACAAACGCTCTAAAAACTCTACAAATTTAGTGTTGTTTATTTATATCACATCCAATTCCACCAAGAATTATACTGTAACTTATAGCATAAATATAAATGGCAAAATAGGAATAGGGAATCAAACAGCAAATAAATTGAATTAGAGCACAAAGGTCATATTAAAGTAGAAACTTAAATGTGAGAAAAAGGAGGGGCCAACATAGATGTTATAACTATATTTATTTATTTTTTTACTCTTTTTTTCTCCCCACCCTCCCCCACCCCTATACTTACTATACTTTAAATTTAGTTCTGAGCTCCCCAGCAACCAAAGCAAAAATGGAGCCATGATTATTTACAAAATTAGCATGATGAAAAAGAAGAAAGCTTTAACAGGTGTAAGGAAAACATGGCTTTTTTGGATTGAATTCTAAAAGAAATCATTCAAAAGGGAGAATTCATGGGAGGCATAATGCCTTTAACCATTTTCCAAATGCTGTAACAATTTCATGTGGCTAATTCTTATAGTATTGCCAATGATAAAGTTGAGAGCCAAATATTAAATTTTACAAAGTTAATGGATTCCATTTGTCTATGGCTGACTCAGGAAGACAAGTTACAAATCTAATTAAGTCATGATAACCTTAAGAAAAGTTAGCATTGTACTTCACCATTTTTTGGAATCAAACTAACAGGCAAGAAAAGATAATGCACTCTTTGTGGTTAAAGAATAATTATACCTAACATTTATGTAGAGCTCACTATGTGCCCTGCAATGTTCTAAGCACTCTATATGTATTCATTTATTTAATCCTCACCACAACTCTATAAGGTATTATTATACCCTTTATTTTATGGATGAGAAAACGGAGACCCAAGGATTAAGTGCCCAAGGTCACATAGCAAGGACTAACACTATTTACTGTTACTGGCAATTAAGGTCAATTTTTCATGTCAATAGGTGGGAGAAATGGGACTAGTCTTCAGCCATAAAGGGGGTAAACACTACTCTGTTCAATCTGTATGATCAGTAGGACCAGTAATTTGTTATTTTTGCACCCTAGAGCTGGAGAAGGTGGTTCAGGGACATTGTGTCAGTCAGGGTCCAACCAGCAAAACAAACCATTCTGAGTTCTTGAAACAGAGAGGAATTTAATGTAAGAAACTGGTTACATGATAAGTGGTGAGAATCCCTCAAGAAATGCCGAGGCGGCATGGAGATTGGCAACAGCGGGAAGGAGATGGTCGTATAGGAGCCTGGGTGGGTTCACCTGCAGAGGCTGGATCCACAGCAGGCCTCAGTGGGCCCCTTGGAGGTGCTGCCAGAGCCACGCCCTGGCTTCTCGCTTCCTCCCCCTTCCAAACTCCCCCTGACTGAACTCTGCCAGAACTCCACTAACAGGGAAATGCACCCTCCAGGTGTCAGCCCTTCTATGACACAGGGCAGAACTGTACAAAGTTGAGGAAGAGATCTGAAAGCAAAAACACTCAAGAGCAGCTCAGGTACCAACAGCATAAAAGTGAAAATTCTGTCTTCAAGCAGCTGCAGCATGTGGGCCTCAGGAGGCACATCACAGGGTAAATAAAGGCGCATCCCCTAAATCGCCAGTCGTTCGTTTTGTACCAGCTGAGTCCCACAAATGTAAGTGAAGTGCATCAGATGGAATGATGAATATTGCAGGTCTTGTGACTTGTGTTCAGCAGGATAAAACTTGCTGCAGGAGTTACGGAGAGCGTTCTAACGGTAGGTGGGGTTAAAGAAGGACGGCATGCTCACAGGAACATTTGAGAGCTGTGCCTCATGAATTTCTAATAGGACGCAGCCAGGCAATGAGGAGTTGCAGTCAAACAACAACATAGCAATGGGTAAGAGGAGGTGAATTCTTTTTTTTTTTTTTTTTTCTTTTTGTGACAGGGTCCCACTCTATTGCTGGGGCTAGAGTACTATGGCATCATCAGAGCTGACAGCAACCTCAAACTCCTGGGCTCAAGCAATCCTTCTGCCTCAGCCTTCTGAGTAGCTGGGACTACAGGCATGTGCCACCGTGCCTGGCTAATGTTTGTATTTTTTGTAGAGACAAGGCCTTACTATGTTGCCCAGGATGGTCCTGAACTCCTGGGCTCAAGTGATCCTCCTGCCCTGGCCTAACAAAGTGCTGGGATTATAGGTGTGAACTACCACACCTGGCCTAGGTGAACTCTTCAAGTGAGCCTCCCAAAGTCTAGTATTCAGAAGGATGCCAGTACACAGAAAAATGGAAAACCACTGTGCTACAGAAGTACACACACCAAGCCTGCAGCCATAAGCTTGTTTCTAAAAATCCTAAGGCTAAGATGTGTACATGACCACCTGAAACGTTGAGGTAAAAAACGAGAATTGCCACTAACAGGAGACGGTGTCAAGGAGATTCTGAGAAGAAAGAAACATGACTTCTTGCTGGGAAATTTGGGGATGGATGGGTATATAAAATTTTGGACAGGAGGTGTCATTGGATCTGCATCTAAAGATGTGAAAAGATAATTCCTGGTGGAGGACATAGCAAAAGGGAAGAACAACATCTCTAAAGCAGGGGACATAAACAGTTGTATCAAGTAGTCACTTTTCAAGGCAAAGGATGTAGGAAGGAAGGGTTAGGAAAGAAAAGTGAAAACAAAGATTAAGATTATATCCCAAAAGGCCTTTTAAAATTCATGGATGGATAAATCTACAATGAAAATTGTTGCGGTAAATTTGGACATTGGGGTATATTCAAAATCTTTTAAGACATATGTCTTGGAAGACAGTTATTTCATCCCATTTAACATTAGAAGCAGGATTCTGGGTAGACAGACCACAGCCCTGCTGCCCAGGGACTAACGGCAAGCTCAGAGTCAATGCCACTAGTCCTGTTTCCCTGCAACTGTAAAGTCAGGGCAGGGTGCCAAGCATGAACAGTCACCTCACACTCCATCTGGGTTTACAGAGAATATTCAGAAGAAGGTATTGACAAGCAATTCTTCCTTATAATAAAAGGGAGGCAAAGAGTACATTACTAGTTTCAAGTTAAAATAATGGAGCATAAAAATATTTCACCTTATGAAATAATTTCATCTTATGAAATAATTTCATGCTATATAAGTTTTCTGCCAATGTGAGCTGATACATCAGCCTACTGACAAATATATTTTAACTTAAACAATCTGACCATTTTTTAAAAAGCACGAGTGAGAAAGAAATTCATTCAGCTGACATAACTGGAATTCTAATTTCAGATCTTCATGGCCTCACTAAATATTTCTCAGAATATTTATGGTTTAGTTTTCATATCATCAGCAATAAAGTAAAAGTTGTCAATCTCTTCTACATTGTTGCCACAAGAAATTAACTGATAAATTGTTGCAAATAAAAAATTTAAACATGGAAGTTTAAGTCACTGATAAATAATATTGTATATTCATTTGTGTTTCAGATCCCAATAGATCCTTATTTTCTCAAGCATATACCATTTTATGTTGATTAGCATTAGATGACTTAGCTCATGGGTAAAGATCAAATGTAATGAAGGAAGGGAATTTATATTTTGTTTGCAGAAGTGCATACAAAAATAGCTGGCCTGTCATGTTATCACCTAAACCATTATTAATAGGTTACCAAAAGTGGCCACAAAATGACAGAAATAAAAACTTTGTTTCCCCAGAAGAATCTCATTTTCATATTCATACCATATTCTAGATCATATTCATTATCTTGATTCTCAGTCATTTTCCTTAGCCTTGGCCTCTTAATGCATGAGGAGTTGTCAAAGAGAAGACAAGTGCCTCCTGCCACCGTGGTCCTGATGGCCTGGCCCGAGTCAGCAAGGGAGTGAGATGCCTGCCCACCATTTTTAACTACATTTAGATTCACAAGCCTTGGATTCCAGGTTTAGTACTGTCACTAATTGGCTCTGTGATTCAGGTGCCTTAACCTATCTTCAACTGTGAAAAGGGATAATAACTGTAACCCATCTCACAGAAATACAGTAAGGAGAAAAAAAATGTATGTGGAAGTTCTTTGAAAAGCTGAAAAGCCAAGTATAAATGTAGATAATATTCTTTTCATAAAGGTCTGAAATTACTCAACCTTTTGTTTCTAACTTCAAGCTTGAAAGAAAGTTTTCTATTTCCTTTTGCTCCTAATTTAAACAAAAGATACAAAGCATTTCACTTAGACTTTGCTCCTATTTGAAGCATTTGGCTTGCAGAAGCCTTTTGTCGGCAAGCATCCAACTCCTAAAGTTGATAGAGGAAATCCAAACTCCGCTGCAAGTCAGGGGTGTGGAGGTGGAAAGAACAGGAAATGTCACTGGAACTTGCCTGGTCTCCAAGGGGAAACCAAGCAGGACCAAATACAAAGATAACTACAATCACACAACCTGTTAGACTCCTGAAGAGAACCAGGTTTGGTTTAAAATTGGATGGCAGCAGGGGTGGCCTGACTTTACATAAAGCTAATTTCATAGCAGAGTTGAAACTATTGAGGCAGAAAGTACACAAGTTTTTCCCCAATCATAAAAGATAACATGTGATGGCTGGTCTGGTCACTCATACCTGTAATCCTAGCACTCTGGGAGGCTGAGGCAGGAGGATTGCTTGAGGCTAGGAATTTGAGGTTGCAGTGAGCTATGATGACACCACTGCACTTTAGCCTGGGGAATAGAGGGAGACCCTGCCTCAAAAAAAAAAAAAAAAGAGAGAGAGAGATCATGTAAAGGATGTTCCCACATTGGGGACTTGTCTCCGTGAAGTTTCCTCTGTCTGAAAGACTCCTTCCTGCTTCATCTTTTTGTCCTTTTTTAAGATATTTCTTAGGGGGGGGTCTTCCCAGCCAATACTATGCCTTATCCAATCCAGATCATTTCCAGTGTAAAAATTCAGAGCATACTGCACTTCTCCATCCTAAGCATTGATCATTGGAATTATCAGTTCATTATTTTGACTGTTCAAATGTTCTTTCCCTGATCTCCCAGTAAGCTCCCTGAGGACAGGGAACAGTTTGATTTCATAGTCTCTCCAGAGTGGAGCAGTGGACCTTCATGAAATATTTATTGAATGAGTGATGAAATAAATATATGAAAAGAACTGCAAAGCAGATTATTTCAGCTCAAAAATCATTTCTGGGTAGATATATTTATGCAAGTGTTATTTACATGAAAACCCCTTAATTTACTGTTGCTCAGGGAGGACATATTGCAAATGGATGGAAATCTTAAAATGGGGGAGGTTAATAAATCAATTATAATAATAATTTAGTAGTAAGAAAATATGCTGTGCTTCCTGAATAAGGAGTCTTTATGGACTGGATGGTCCCAGATGCCCATGTCTAGATGTTTCGAAGAAGGCAGAGCTTTCACTTCTCAAGCTTGAAAGCACCAACCACAGTCAGCAGACATCACAGAGAAATTTCCTTCTGGACTAGTGTCATGTTCTGGAACAGAAGGTTGCATGATGGAGCCACTCAGTCTTTCTGAAAGTGTCAGGACAGCTCTCATGGACACAGGTAAAATAGCAGCCAGTTTTGTTATGTTCTATTTACTTTCTTCTATTCTAGGAAGTTGAAAAGTATGGCCAATTTGGCATTCATTCATGTGAATGTAAATAAATCAGGAAGAGAAAATTTTCAAAAAATAACATTCAAGCACTACAGCAAGATAAAGCAGTTAAAGTTCTTAATCTCTATCAAGCTATACTCAGAGACTATGCTTTTTGGATAAAGGTTAATCTCCTCCCACCATATGGAGTTTTTTTCTCTTGTACTCACTTAACACAGTTTGACGCAATTTTTAACTAAATAAGGTTTCATTTTAATTTTTACACAGTGATCATTCTATGGAACATATAATTAAATCTCATCTTCCCACTAAGTGGCTTGAATTTCCGACTTTCTGGGAGCTAAATCTACCCCATTTATTTGTATGTTAAAACTGAAGAAAAGGATAAGGATGCTGAGTAATGAAGATCATGTCTTCTCTGGGGCCTTAAAGCTAGAGGGTTTCTTTTCTCTCCTTCGAAAGGTTGTACACACTAAATTACATTGCAGATCAAAATGAATTAAGTGAAACTGAGAGATCAGAGAAGAAATAAAGAGGCGCTATTGTCTGTAGAGGGTCTTTAACAGATGATGCTTTGGGACTATCAATTTGGAAAGAAAAAAGAAATCAAATACAAATCCATTTCATACTCATTTTGCAGACCTCATCCTTTTGTTTTCATGTAAGTAACTCTGTTCAATGTTTTATTTTATATAAGATCTATGCTGTTCTTCTACTGTGTCCTAATATTCTGCAAACAAATTCTAACTACTTAGCAGACAGAAACAAAACAATTCAAATGCTTCACATTTAATAATTTCAAAATAACAACAAGCAGGGCACTTTCTCTTGTGGCTCATCAGCCAAACAACTACCTTTCACTTTTACTGTTGCTCCTATTATATTCCTGGCAGAGATCCTAAAAAATCAGGTAATATGAAACCAAAGAGGTCTTTCTATTTTTTCAATTTCAAGCTATCTCAACCTATGAACTGCCTTCATCCCTGAGAAATTGTGTGAAATTCAATAATATTATTTTTCCTTCGGGAAAGTAAGAACAAGTCATGGTCAAAGAGGAAACTTCTTTTTGTTTCCCCCTGTGGACTCTCCCCCTTACTCCTTTTAGTTGAGGGTGGGAGTGCAGATCTGGGTGTACTCTGTGCTGGGGAGGAGTCAGGTTTTTTTCTCTGTTATGGTGAGCAACTAGCAGAGTTCCTTGAACATAGAACATGTTCAATGTAAATTTAGCAAAAGAATGGATGAATGAAAAAGCATACAATTTTCACTGTATTAATACGAATCATTTCCATATCACTGTCAGGCCCATTGTCCATCAGGCTTTACAAAATAGATTTAAGGCCTCCGGACAGGGAAACAGATCATGGAGCAGAGAATGTAGCTTTAGAAAAGCTTAGGAAAAGAAGGACCTGTGCTCAAGTAAGCTTCACATAAAATATCTTGTCCAAGTTACACTTCTCCATGAGTAGAAAGGATTATTTTGGAGTGAGGCAAAGTAAGGTGTTCACAGCAACAGACATATTAAAAATGTTTTCATTAGGCTGACCAATGACCTGTCCCAATCAAACCACCATCCCCAACCTTCTTGGTCCTTTACTGTGTTAAGGAGACGCAGGGTGGCTTGCCCTGGGAGAAATCTTTGCTTTTATCTAACCCACAGTTAAATCTAGTCTGTTTCTATATTTTTTCCTCTGCTTTTTCTTTTTCTTTTTTTTTTTTTTCCTTTCAATGACTATGGAGTTTTCCCTTTGGTTTCTCTTCAAGAACTCCTAGTATTTAAGGAGTGAGGGGATGATTGTCTCTTTCTGTCTGCCTTAATAAACCCGGCAAGCTCCTTGGCTTCCCCAGGGTGTGGCTCTAAAGGGGCCTTAATTCCACTACCAAGCAGACGTGCCTGGGGGTCAGGGACCACGAGAGTCCCTCTGGTGTGTGGTGTGCCGCTAAGTTGCTTCCCCAAGGACTGGTGGCATCAAGGCAAGGTAAACTCTGTCCCAAGTGCTAAGTGGGAGCGCAGACTTCCTTTAAAGTCGAACTTTGCAAACAAGAATGACCTTGAAAAGGACCCTTTAGACACAGATCAATGCTCAGGAACCTTGCCAACCACTTACAACTCCCCTTCGACAATTCACAGACATATTATCTATGCTCCAGGAGGGACCTCCTTTCACCCTTGTGACCCAAGTCCCAGCTCTGCGCCACTGTTGGAGTGGGGGCTTGTCGGATGAGCCGCTGGGGAAATATGCGCCCCCTCTTCTCTCCTTGGTCAACTCGGGTCATCTTGACACAGCGCCTACCTGTCCCTCTGGGGCCACTTCTTCTGTGGTGTCCCGATCAACGCTTCTCGGAAAAATTCTCTACGTGTTCTGGAGGTTTCCTGGGAATCCCTGCTTCCCTACGCCCTGGATCTGCCTGAAAGCAGAACTATCCGCCGGCCCCCACCTCCTAAACTCCAGGACGTCCGTGGGGCTGCACTAGTCATTAATGGCCATCATCTATTTTTAATCAGAAAGATCACAAGAGAGATGACAAGCGAATCCCAGTCGCAAGTCAATTTAAATAACATTCCGGGGGAAATCCAATCACTTAAAACTGAGACACCTACAGGAGCGAGAGCTCCCGCCCGTCTGGCGGGGCAGAGCGCGAAGGCTGAATTAATCAAGATCAAGGGGCTCCCGGGCTGAGAGCAGAGCATTAACCCTTCCAGTCCCGGAGAGCGACACGGCGGGGGAGGAAACGCGCGGCGGGCCAGGGCCAAGATGCCCACGGCAGCCCCGCGCAGGCCGCCTCTGCCACTTGGGGCGGTTCCGGATGCCTCGCGCCCGGCCCGGGCGACCGTGCGCCCGAGGTTAAGGTCAGAAGCGCCCGAGGCTGCTCGGGCTGCGAGAAGCAGCCGCCTCCCGCAGCCTCGGCGCGCCTCGGGCTCCTCCTCCCGCCCAAGCGTGGCCAAGTGAGGACTGCTCCGGCCGCAGGTAGCGGAGGCGCGGGAGGCGGCGCGCGCGAGTCCGGATCGGAGCGCCGGGGAGGGGCCGACCGACACGCAGACAGACGGACTCCCTAGCCTCACGTCCCGGACGTTAGCAGAGGTCTGCGCGGGCCATGTGGGGACCCGGGGTCACGGCCGAGGGCCTGTCGGTGGCGCCGGCGCCGCCGCCTCTGCTGCCGTTGCTGCTGCTGCTGGCGCTGGCGCTGGTGGCGCCCTCGCGGGGCGGCGGGGGCTGCGCGGAGCTGGCGTGTGGCGAGCGGGAGCGCTGCTGCGACGCGACCAACGCCACGGCGGTGCGCTGCTGCAAGCTACCGCTGCACGCCTTCCTGGACAACGTGGGCTGGTTCGTCCGCAAGCTCTCGGGGCTGCTCATCCTGCTCGTGCTCTTCGCCATCGGCTACTTCCTGCAGCGCATTATCTGCCCCAGCCCACGCAGGTACCCGCGCGGCCAGGCGCGACCCGGGCAGGCGCGGCCGGGGCCCCCGGGGGGCGCCGGGCAGCTGGGGGGCGCGGGCCCGCCCGACGACGACGACGACTCGCCAAGTCTGCTGCGGGACGAGGCAGCGGCCGGTTCGCAGGACTCACTGTTGGACAGTGGTGGCAGTGGCCGGGGCCGGGGAGGCGGCGCGCGCTCAGCCCCCTCCTGCGCCTCGGAGCACGAGCTGCGCGTAGTCTCGCCGGTCTTCCTGCAGCTGCCCAGCTACGAGGAGGTCAAGTACCTGCCCACCTACGAGGAGTCCATGCGACTGCAGCAGCTCAGCCCTGGGGAGGTCGTGCTGCCCGTGTCGGTGCTCGGCCGCCCGCGAGGTGGCAGCGCCGGGGAGCCCGACGGCGGCGAGGGCCGCTTCCCGCTCATCTGAGCGCCTTGGGCCGCGCGGGGACCACGCGGACGGTGCAGAGCTGGGGGCTGCGGGTGGCACTCAAGACGAGGGCACCCTCAGCCGCCCCCAACTGCCTCAGACCCCATCTGGCACCCCGGCCTAACCGCCCGTCACCCTGCGAGTAGGTTGGGGTCACCCCTCTCCCTCGCGCTGCCCCGGGATCCCCTGTTTCCCTACGTTTCCTTTGGTTCAAAGAAACGCCCGGCAAGCGCGGCGGGGGCGGCTGCCGCAGACGAGCCCCCAGCGCAACTTCGAAGGACGTCCCCGCCCTCTGCCTTGCCTTGTGTTGTGTTCACTCGTAAGTGCCTGCTTCCCGGGCCACAGCGCACGGGAGCCCGCCGCGGAGTCGGGAGAAGGGCAGTGTTCTTTGGGGCTGGGGGGAAAGGGGTGCAGCTCCGCTCCTGGCCTTCCCCCCGGGACAGGTCGGGCCGCCAGGTGGGCGGAGGGCGAGGAGCCCGTGGGGACCAGCCGCAACCCGTCGCTGCCGTGCGAGGGTACGGTGGAACCCTTCCCTTGCGGTGGACCCACAAAACCCTTCCGTGTCTTCCTGGCCAAGCAAAAAGGCACAGCTGAGGGCTCACAGTTAGGTGGTGGCAGACAGTTAGTTGCTGTACTTCAGGGTGCAGCGTCTGTATCCAAGACCGTTATTCCTAATACAGTACGGTTGGACCTTTGGTTTTTCAGTAACTGAGAAGGTACTTGTATTTATTTGTCTTTTATTTTTGTATTTTTACCACATACCGAACGCAACAGCAGTGTATTTCAGCGAATTAATGACAAGGTTATCATCTTACCACTTTTTGTAGGCCGTCTCTGGTCAGGAAATTGCCCATATTCTGTCATCGTTGTTTAATAAAATGTTGGACATTATTTAAAATGAAAAAAGAGGCATGGTCAAAGGAGGAAACATGTGACATAGAGAAAACATGAAGGATATCTTATTTTCACTATTTGAGAAGAATATATTTTATTTTTAGTACTGTGGCATAATATATAACTTTTTATAACTGTATACATTGTGTAGTCTAGGTCTTCATTGTATCATTCATCAACAGTTATATGTAAAACTAATTGATATGTGTGTATATATATATATGCGCCATACCGTGAAGCATGATGTCATGCACTTTCTCCCCATTTTTCCTTTGGAATACTTTACACAACATGATACAAATGTAAGAACTTGTAACTTTTGCTCAAAGGTAATTGTGCAGTAATATGCTACAGAAGGATTGAATCTATTTTCTTTAAAAGAAAAAGTGTCATTGTATCGGTTCTACCATTCTTTGAAATGTTCTTTAAGCAAAAGGTAATATAACATTTTAATGCCTTGTGTATAATGTACATATACATATTGTCTATGTACTGTATGCACATTACATACAATATAGGTATTACAGTTTATGATTGTCATGAAAGGAAAAGAAGGAAAACATAAAAGGTTTCGCTGGGAAAAGGTAACTATTACATCAAGAAAGATTACACGCATAGATCTCATGTATCTAGAACATTATTCTTATGATTGAAAAAGTCTGACAATCCTGTGAAATCTTAAAATATATGACTTGTATTAGAAAAAAATTATTTGATTACTTTAAACTTTTAAAGGCTGAGTGAGAAAACCTGACAGTTCTGAGAAATTTTTAAATGTCTGAATTATAATAAAAGAGCGTGGTTTACTTTAAACTTCTAAAAGCTAATGACCCTATCATTAAAGAAAAATCATGACTATATTAAAACAGAAAAACGTTAAGATCTTTGTGCATATTTTATCAGATGTGACTATATGGTAATGTACTCAAGTATTATAAATTTTTGTTATGTGTGGCTATCAATCCTACTCACCATTCAAACAAACTGGGAAGTTGCCATTTTTAAAAATGATTTATTCTTTGAAGGCACACTGTTTTAGACATTTCTGAAAATTCATCTGCATCTGAAACATCGACCTAAACATCCAAGGACCTGTACCAGTATATGAAGCATAGCCTATATGTTGTTTCTATAACATCTTAAAGAAATTTACAACAAAATTCTATTTTTAAAATACACTTATATACTATGGATCAAATATGTTTATATTTTATCAACTATGTGACATTTTCTCCCTAAAATCTGGAATGTATAAAGTGGTAATTCCACTTGATAACAATCATGCAGTGAGGTTCTACTGAATTTTAAAATTACAAGTTTTCACTTGCTTTTTTCCTTTTATTCACATCCCTCAGTTCAATAGAAATGAATTTGACTCTCCTGTGGTTTTTTTCCTTGCAGTTCATTAATTTACCAAGTATAATTTTGTTATTTTGTGGAAAAAATCTTTTAAAACTTTTTATTAGTGATAAATGAGCATGTTTCATGATAACACATGTATAACAGACCATGTTAACAAACACAGAACATGTGTGTTCATAATGATGGAATACCTGGATAGAAACTTTTTAAAGGAGTTTTTCAATTTTATTGATATTTTCCAAGAACCAACTTTTTTTTAGCATATTATAGGGGTACAAATGTTTAGGTTACTGGATAGAAAACATTTTAAAATTACTAAGGGCAGTATCTGGTTGTTTAGTTTTATAGATTTCACCTGGAAATTATTTATTACATAGAACCTATTATATATAATTACAAGTGTTTAATTATATAAAAAATAGTTATTCTATCACCTGAAAAGAATTCATGATGAAATGCTGATTTTACTTATGTTTAATATTCTTCTATATTAAAAGTGGAACACAGAACACTGTTCTTCAACTATATGTATTATGGCATGAAATATTAATGGAATTAATGTGGAACATTAATATTATAGCATATATATTAAAACCAAACCCACCTGGGAGCGCAGTGTTCTCCTGTACCAACTGAGTCTTTCCTCCTGGTTTTCAGTTATCAAAGTAATTCAAATACCAAAACATTTCAAGTACATTTTCTTTTCACTGACTTCTCATGAGTAGAGAAATAATGAGCTTGCATATGGTAATCCATCTGGGATGTGAGAAATGATGATTGATTTTCTAAATGTATGTACTAGATAAAGAAATATGTATAATATATATGCATATATGTATATGTACACTCAGTCCCCTAGTATCTGCGAGTTCTGCATCCACAGATTCAACCAACCACAGGTCGAAAACGTTTTTTAAAAAACGATAAAATATAATACAAATAAAAAATACAGTACAACAGCTATTTACATAGCATTCACATTGTATTAGCTATTCTAAGTTACCTAGAAATGATTTAAAGTGTATGGGCGGATGTACATAGGTTATATGCAAATACTACACCATTTTATATCAGGGACTTGAGCATATGCAGATTTTGATACCCACAGAGAGTCCTGAAACCAATACCTAAGGATGACTGTGTATGCGCCTGTGTGTGTGTGTGTATATATATATATATATATATACACACACACACATATATAAATGTATATATACATATACAACACACATATGAGTGTGTACGTGTGTGTATTCACCAGTTGCTTAAAAGCAATTTGTTATGGGTGTTCAATATCATAACCAGGAAAAAATGCCTTCTTAAGATGGAATGATACTTTTAAGAGGCCATTAATTGCTATATTCTGCAAATGTGAGTGTGCTTCAACCATGGAAAATGGCATTGGCAATTATGCCAAAGGGCATAAGGGGTACTATATTAGGAAAACAAAATTCAATTGTAAAGGCCAAAGGGAATATTAAGGAAATGGGCTCACCTAACAGTTTAAAAGGCAATATGATAAGTGCTTTAATCTTGTACTTTATGTATACAGTTTCTCTCAAGTGGAATTAATAAAGGAAACAATTCAATGCTGAAACTGATGTTATAAACATGAATATCATGTTCAGATTTTTGCAGTATTTTGCATTGTCTTATAAAATGTCATGAATTGTAATTAGTTTGGATTCCAGGTTGAGAGAAATTATGATGTATGCTGAGTTTTATTTTGAACAACAAGCATTAGTCACCTCTCCAAAAGTGTTAGTTTCATAAACCAATCAATAACAGATTATTTGGCAAGTTTATGTCTGCCTTAGTAGCTTACAATTTAATTTTTCATTCTCCTTTCATCTACTGATGAAAACTCTGTAATAACTGGTAGACTAAGGGAAGGTATTTTATCAACTAAAGTATGAATCAGCAGCCAGCTAATGGCAAAGAAATTAAGTCATCTTTTCTTCCATATGGTTCATACCAGAAAAGTTACAGTATTTCTTTTTTTATTTTGCCTATAAAAATAATCAGATGTCAAGTAAAACCAGTACTTTGGTTATACTTAAATGCACACAGAACCTAATTTGATGTGTTTTATTTATTTTTACTTACACTTTTACTTTTATGGCAAAAATTATACTTTGGGGATTACTTATGTTTGTTACCAAACTAAACAGTATCACTTTTTTTCCCTCTAAAGCTTCTTAGCTAAATACCTTCATTGTCTTGATATCTAGCAGTTCTTATTTTCTTTGTGTGTTGTTCTTATCCTGCTTTGGATTTTCAGTAGATATTTCCTCAGAAACACATCTCTTAGAAGTCCATATTACTCTTTACTGTGATTTCATATCACTCTGCGTATGGCTTCACCCTTTGCACACAGTGTTTGCCTTTGGTGAAATGATATTTTCCAAGGTATTTCCTTTATATTTGCATTTGACTTCTGTAGCTTTTCTATTTTGTGCCAGGTGGTTTCTCATCTTTATCCATTAAAGAACCATTTTTCTATTTGTTCTTATCTCTGTCATGCTGGGCAAACGATCAAATCTTTATATGTCTCCAGCAAGGATTTTAATTTTTCTAAATATCAAATACACTAAATCCTGATTTGCCACTACCTCTTTATCTTTCTGCTTCCTCACCTGGATTTTCCTGGTGGGATTGTCAAGCATTTTTCTCCCTTTCCCCAAAAATGTGTTCTTCTCTATATTAAGGCAAAGAATTAGACTCTTGAGTTTTAGTAGTGACGGGGACCTTATTTTGGCTTCCAAACCTCAAGCACATTGTTTTTTCATGGGCTGCTCTTTCCGCTAGATTTTTCTCACAGGCTTGTTTGTGGTTTTCCCTGTCCGTGTCATTTTATTTGAATAATGATCAACTGTTTTCTCCCCACCCTGGCTTGCAGACATTCTATTTGTTGTAGTAGATGAAAGATTATATCCTCTATCTTTGTAGAAAAGACCTTATTTAAGCCTCTTGACCTCAAAGATAACTTGATTTCAGATTGATTGCTCTATCTTTTACATTCTTTTGGATTTTTCTGCATGGGCTCCTCTTCAACTTCCTCTGTATTGTGGTGTATCTGTTTTACTGGGTAGACTAGATGGTACCTCTAAGTCTACATTTCTTTTAGTGCTTCCACATGTTCTAAAGTTATAATGCCTTGAACCCCCACTGTATTAAGATTTTATCTGAAGAACTATCAATAGTTTTATCATCCGTCTCTTTGTTGGCTACATTTGTTTCATCAGACAAAGTGTTAGAACCTTCCAGATTTACTCCTGCTTTATTTTGGTTTGTATGAATTTTCTCTTCTGTATTGACCAAAGATGTTACCAGATAAAAATTAATTTTGACTATTTTTCTAGGTGGTAAAAGTATCTTCTCTTCATTTTGTAGTTTAAGTTTTTGTTGCAAATTCTTTGTTGGCTTATCATCCTTCCCCATGTGCAAAATCCCTGTGGAACTAGCCAAACTATCAGATCCTTGCAGATTTATACCAGTTCTACCTCTCCCTACCCTATGTTATACTCCCTGTCTTTTATTTCATAGCTCCATCTTCCAAGTTTTCTCTTGGAAGCTCTTCACAGTATTCTTTTAATCTTTATTTGAATCTTTTCTGCTGATGTAAGCAACCGAGACTTTTGCAGTTGTTATCAGCTCTGTATTTGTGTCTGGGACATAGAGATACACCCTGATTCAGCTTTTTTTGAAAATTAAGCTCATATTTCTTTACATTCATTTTTGTTTCCACATTATCTGTTTGACTAGGCAAAGGTTTAGATTCTTGAAAATCTTTTTTTTTTTTTTTTTTTTCTTCTTTGACTAACTCTATCTTGCATGTTCTTTGGCCATCAGTCTCCAGTTTCAGAGGCATTAATTTTATATTTATATACACAAGTACTACCAGAGTTTTCTTGACTGAGATCCCTTAGTCCGTTCTTATTTCTGTTTGCTGAATCAAACATTTCTTCAAATCCGTTATAGTCAACTTCCAAACATGGTTTTTGTTTGGGTTCTGCCATAAGTGTTCGCATTCCAAGAAGTCTTTGACTACACTTTTCTTTTTCTTTGGTGGTTTCAATAAATTACTGATAATGCTTGCTTGGTTCATGGTGTTCTTTGGTGTTTTAAAAAGTTTTGTATGGTCTTCCACATTTTCTTTTAATTGAAAACTTGTACAATCAACCTTGAACTCTAATAGAATATAAGAACTCTATATGTTCTAAATATTTTTTCCTAGTACTTGACCTTCTTAAGTAGTATTTTTCATATCTTTTGTTATAGGTGTGTTAGGCAATTGCTTTTCTTGTTTTCTCTGATGTATCTGAATCTGTGCTAAGGGTTTCCTATGAGGAAATTTTTGGAATTTGGAGTTTCCATAAGCATTGGAATGTCTACCAGAACTTCTACTGGATGTACCTTAGAAATTTTCGTAAGTCTCTTGATGTCTGTCAGATT